CTAGGCAAACAGCCAGAGCAATCACAGAGTTCACTTCATTTGTTTCCCTTTTCTAAGAGATCTCAGTTCTGCCCTGCCTGTTACCCAGTGTTGCCTTATGTATTTTATCCAGTGTCCTGGCTGGTTTTAGTGGGAGGAAAAGTCCAGTACTAGCTATTCACCTGTGATTGAATGCTAAAGTTGGCTGTAAGGATTCTTACATTTTTTCTTTTCTCTGATTCTTGAGTATGTAGGGCCTGCTTTGCGTTGGTGAATGTTTTTAAAGATCTGTCTAATGAAATGGTCACTTTTTCTTAAAGCTGGCATTTCATAGAAATTTACTCTATGCCAGCCACAGATCAGTACTTGATTTGTATTTTATTCCCATAGCAGCCTATGATATTGATATTACATTTTACAAATATGGAGATGAAGATGTAAAATGATGGAGTGACTTGTCCAAGATCAGAGTGATTGAATTAGAACTCATCTCTGATTTTAAATCCTAGGCTTTTTAACTCTTCCAATATAACCTCCCTTTGAGATTTTGATATAACTCATTTCGAACTCAGAAATAAAATTATCAACGTGTACCAAAAATGTGTGTACAATTTCAGAGGGTTCACAGACACCTGGAGCCCATCCATAAATAAGCCAAATCATAAGTGCCAACAGGAGGAGCCCTGGCTAATGTAGTCATCCATACTACTCATTGTCGTTGTAAATCCTTGGTGAACTTCTGAACTTTCCTTCCTGCCTCCTGTGGTTCTATATTACCTTTTACAATTATACTTCATACCTTGTAAGACTACTATTTCTCTGTCTGTGACTCTGCCCTCAGCAGGATCTGAGGTGAGTCCACATGGATATATTTTTGCCTGGTAAGACCCCTTCTTCTCATGCCATGTCTTGCCTTATTCCTACATAACACTTAAGAAACAGATCCTAAAACAGAGACTATTTTTAGAACTAGTTTCACATTTTACCATAAATGATCATCAGAACTAATTCTATCATGACTCACTTCTGAGTTTACCTCAGACACTTGGGCCTGGTCACTGAAATTCATCATCGATCACCATAGGTGAGCTGATGGTACTGCCAGGCGATCCTGCTTCATTTCCTAAATCCTTTCACTTTCCTATTCTCCTGGGTTAGTTCACATTTTTTTCCCTCCAGCTTCCAAAACCTTCTTCCCATCCTACTTTCAGCTGGTGACTTTGCTTCCTTTTTTACTGAGAAAATTGCTTCTGGTTGCATAAGTGAATGTCTACAAACTCCCACAAACACACCTACTAAACGACTGGTGTCTGAACTCTTCTCTCTCTCTCTCTCTCTCTCTCTCTCTCTCTCTCTCTCCCTCCCTCCCTTTTCTGTTGACTAATTGGCCTTTTCAAGGCCAATCCCTTCTTTTGGATCTTAGATCCCATTCTCCTTTTGCCTTCTCAAGAACATTGCTCCAGTTTTTCTACTGCATCAACAATTTTTCCTTTCCTACTGAATCATTCCCATCAGCACACAATAATACATATTGTAATAGCTCTTGTCTTTTAAAAAAAGTCTTGTCACCCTTCATCTTTCTTCAGCTATTTCTCCATTTTTTACTTTCTCTATTGACCCAAAATCTCCAAGAGTTTATTTACCCACTATCATCAGTTCTTCTCTCTTCATCTCTTTTCAACTCAATTATTCTAAATTCAATAGTCAGTTCTAAGTTCCTCATTCTACTTATCCTATTAGTAATATTCAATAAAATTGATCTCTCTCCTTCTTAAAACACTATACTCATTTGCTTTTGCAAATGCCTGCTCTCCTGGTTTACTCGCCCTCCTACTCACTCTTTCTTGCTCTTCTTTGCTGACTCTTTCTCCTTTTATTGGCCTCTAAGAATGAGGATATACTGAGGCACAATCTCTGGACATTTCCTCTTCTCTTCCCAGCTTCATGCCAAGTGCTCTGGTTCAATGCCCTAGCTTAACTACCATCTATGCCAGTAGTTCCCAATGGGGATGATTTTTCCCCCCAAGAGACATCTGACAATGTCTGAAGACATGTTTGGTTGTCACAACTGGGAGCAGGTGCTATTGTCAGCTAGAGGTAGAGGCCAGGGATGCTGTTGAACATCCTAAAATGCATAGGATAACAAAACAAAAATGCCCTCCACAACTAAAACGTATCCAGCCCAAATATCAACAGAGTCAAGGCTGAGAAACCCTCATTGGCCCAGTCATCTGAACTCTAGGCTAATATGCCCAATTTCCTATTAACATTGTCATTTGGATTTTTAACAGATAGCTCAGACTGAACATATCTCAAACTGAAGTTTGGATTCCCTCTGCCTCGGCTCAGGTTCCATAGAAAACAACCTGAGACAGGATTGACGCTTTAATGGCAGGTGTGATCCCTGGGGAACTGAGAGAAAAGAGAAAAGTGAGATAAAGAAGGATAGTGTGCAATTCAAGGTGGTGAGTTACCAAGCTTGCCACTGCTTCATGAGCCACAAAGAGATGCGGCCTTGTCATTAGACTATGTGGTTGTTTGTCTCTGAAATGAATACAAGGAGAAGGAATTTGTCTATAGGCTTCAACTTATCTCATATCTCCTACTGGGCAAGCTCCCACTGCTCCATTGAGTTAATGCCTCCATATGGCTGCGTTGTTCACCTGGATTTTTGCAGTCTCGAGGAATCCAGATTCCACTCATTGCAGTGTGGTCAACCTCAGGAAGCAGAGCTCTGTGCCCACACAGAGTTGGCTGTCTCAGCAGTGGCTGAGGCAGTACAAGTGGCCACAGGCAAGAAGATTGGAGAGGTGCCCTAACCGGTTTGGCTCAGTGGATAGAGCGTCGGCCTGCAGATTGAAGGGTCCCGGGTTCGATTCCGGTCAAGGGCATGTACCTTGGTTTCGGGCACATCCCCAGTAGCGGGTGTGCAGGAGGCAGCTGATCGATGTTTCTCTCTCATCGATGTTTCTAACTCTCTATCCCTCTCCCTTCTTCTCTGTAAAAAATCGATAAAATATTAAAAAAAAAAAAAGAAGAAGATTGGAGAGGCAGAGAGAATCCGAGAAGGGGCCTCAACTGCCCAATACAGTAATACCTAAGATACACGAGATACCAGACTCTGGGTAGCTCACATTATGACCATCCAATCAAAGCTTCCAGTAAAGGACATTACCATCTACCTAGTTACAAACCTAGGAGATATTCTTGAAACATGTCTTTGCCCCACATTCAAAATCCTGCCGTCTCTATTTTTAAAATGTAATCTTATGCCAATCCCTTCTCATAAGCCTATCACTATCTTCCTTATTTAAGCCATTATTGCCTGTGCTACTTAATAACCTCCAACCTCATGCCTCATTTCCTGTAGCCAGAATAATCTTTACAAACAGTAAATCTTATTATATTACTTCATGGATCCAAGTCCTCCAATAGCTTCCATTGCACTCAGAATAAAATAAAATATTCTTACAGTGGCCTGAGATGCCCTGTACTACCTGCCCTCTGCCTAGTTTTCCAACCTACCTTCTACAACAGCCTCCCTTGTCACTCCTGCCTAGCTGCATTGTCTCCCTAACATGTTAAGCTTGCCCTTGCCTTAGCACCTTTGCATTGGCTCTTACACCTATCCTGATCTTCCTAGTCCTTGCTCTCTCTCTTCTTGAGGTTCTTTATTGAAATATTACCTCTACAGAGAGCTTGCCACTGCTTCATGAGCCTTCCTGGCCATGTAAATCTGATTTGTTAGTCGCTATCCCCTTTTCTTAATTTTCTTTACCTAGCATTATAATGTGTGGTTTATCTGTTCATTGTCTGTTTCTCCCACCAGAATATGATCTATGTGAGGTCTGAGATCTAGTGTGCCTTCGTTATTACCGTGTCTCCAATGCTACAATATGTCTAACTCATAGTTGGGGCTGAGCAAATATTTGTTGAATGAACAGATATCTCCCAACCCTTACCAACGGCGGGCTTGTATTAAGAATGATGAGTCCCCAGCTTAACAATTTTCTCCCAGTTCCTTAGCGGTCCAGTCTTGCTCTAAACCAGTGGTGGCGAACCTATGACACGCGTGTCAGAGGTGACACGCGAACTCATTTTTTTGGTTGATTTTTCTTTGTTAAATGGCATTTAAATATATAAAATAAATATCAAAAATATAAGTCTTTGTTTTACTATGGTTGCAAATATCAAAAAAATTCTATATGTGACACAGCACCAGAGTCAAGTTAGGGTTTTTCAAAATGCTGACACGCCGAGCTCAAAAGGTTCGCCATCACTGCAAACACTTCTATCCGCTAGGGATGTGGCAAAGCTCCTGATCTTACCATGCACCCTAATAAAACCCCACATTTAGTAACCTGTGATCCCACTCAGCCTGCGAATCTCTTCTGGAAAGGCAGTCGCCAAAAGCTGAATCTGGGCAAGTGCATCCACAGGAGTCTAGGCTCTAGGGAGATGACAGTCGCAGAGGTGTTTAAAGAAGGAAGGGAGCGGGAGGCACAAGAGCAGAGTAGGGAAGCCAGAATTGCCAGGACCTGGTCCGAAAACGTCTGTCAGGTCCAGCAGGTTATTTGTGATGGGGCAGTAACAGCAGCAGCTGCAATCACAGCAGTAGCAGCAGCAAAAACAAGGTACTTGACAGTACTGTAGCGCAAAGCTTTATGGTTTCTTTATTTTTCTTTTATTTATTTAGCAATAAAGCAGTAGTACAGAAAGGTAGAATTAGTGGGATAGCATATGTGTGTGGAAAGTGGGAAAAGGGCAGAGCTTTGCTCCTAAAGGAAAAGCTGGGGTAGGGATCCGGAGGAGCCGCGGGAACAAATACTTTTATTTTGCTGTAAAGAAGGCTGGAGCCTGAATCTGGGGGAGGGACTTAACTAGTTCCGTACCCAGAATTATTGTACTGCCTGGGCAACCCCGCCGAGGCCCCTGCTTTCCTCTAGCCACCAGGGAGTGGAGAGCTCGCAGCCATCGGCTTTGATTACAGAGGTGGGCGGCACAGGCAGGAGGTAAGGAGATCCGGTCGTGCGAAGGGGTGGTCCAACGCAGCAGGCGGGACCAATCGGCAGCGACTCCGGGCTCCGGCAGCTCCTTAGAGACTCGCCGCATTCGAAGTACCGGCTCTGCTGGCTGCTGGCTTTCGCGCCGCCGCCGCCGAGGCGCAGCGCCTCTGGGGGCACTGCTGGTGCTGCATTCGGTGGTGCACCACGCACACCCTGGCTGGTGCTGCCCTGCGCCTCTGTGCGGACCCTTTCCCCAAGAAGTTGCACGCCTTGCATGTGGCCCTGTGGAGGCACTAGGCCGGGAAAAGAAGCTGCGGGAGGAGGAACATGGTGGGAGGTGGGCAGGCGACTTGCTTCTCAGATTAGTCCCAATTAGCACCCGGTTGGCAGATCACCGCACTAAACCATGAAGCCTTTGGCGGTTGGCCATATTATCAGTATTTAAAAATAATCTGATCTTAAGAAAACTTGCAACTCCCGTCGCGGGTCAAAGAGGGACACACTCTCAACATCACCTCCTCGCAGTGACACGGTGTAAAACAAACCCAGGTGATCCCCAACTGCAGAGCTCTCCCTCAAGTCCGCATCTCTCCGAGAACGGCGCGGAGAAGCGGGGTCGGCTCTGCCAAGAGCGCCCGGCGGGAGGGGCGAGATGGCACGCCGAACGCGGCCAACAAAGCGGATTATTGTGGGACTGCACAAACGCAACCCCATCCGAGGAGTTTTGCCAGGAACACCGCCGCCTGCATTGCGTCGGACCTGACCATTTGAAATGTGCAATTCCCGGGGAAGGTCACGGCCAGGGACCTTGCGTGTGCGGGGCTGTGGGCCATAGGAAAGAAGAATTGGGTCTGCTTTTCTGGCAGAAGGAAAAAGCTGTGCTGGCAAGAGTGGGAACTGAATGCAACCCCCCTCTGTGGAACCACCCCCTCATATTTTCCATCTACCTCCTTGCTCCTGCCCTCCCCCGCCCTCCCCAACCTACGCCCGGGTGGGCCAATCGCAGCTCCGCATTCCAGGCGCTTTCTCAGGTTTCTGCTGATCTTGCAGCGCACAGAAATGGACCGAGCGGACCGGCCACCGCTCGCATCTTGCCCCACTCGGCGCTCGTAACCGCTCCCGGCGCACCGCGGAGCCCTGGCGAGGTTCACACGGGGGTGCGGGAAGCGGAGGGCACCTGAGAGCCATGTAGACCCAAGCTTTCGCTCGCCCGCCTCCGTTGGGATCGCATCAAGGACTCCCAAAGTGTTCGGAGGGGGCGAGGGTGCCGTGTTCCGTCATTTGCTTCAGAGCTTCGGGAGAGGGTGGCATTTTGCTTTTCTGCCTCGCATCCCCCGGAACTCCCTGCACCAGAGAGAGGACGGCGTCTCCAGGTTGCTGACAACGGGTGAGAATGGGGACGGGGAATGGACATTTCCCCGCAGTGGCTCAGAAAGGCGACTGTCCAGCTGAAGGGGCATAGGACCAGGGAGTGAGGGCGGCGAATTTGCCCCGGCGCCTCG